CAGCTTTTAACGTCCCTTAATTTTCCTTTTGACATAATATCAATTAGTGAGACTTGGCCCAAAGACGATAATCCACTAGTCCAACTTCCCAATTATAATGTTGTAACTAACCACAGAACTCATAAACATGGTGGTGGAGTAGCCATATATATTCGTGATGGCCTTCAATTCTCTTTACGAAAAGATCTCAACCTTAATCCTGATATTTGTGAGTCCATTTTTATCGAAATCATTCAACCAAATCACAAAAATATTATTGTTGGCACCCTTTATCGAGCTCCATCCCTTGACTCTACTAAATTTATTGATCAGTTTGATAGTGTTATGGCAAAACTGTCTTGTGAAAAAAAATATGCGTATATTCTTGGGGACTTTAACATCGATATACTTAAACATGAATCTAGCAACGATGCCCATTGTTTTGTTAATTCCTTCTTTAGTAATCATTATCTCCCCCTTATTCATAGACCATCCCGTATTACAAATACTTCTTTTAGCCTGCTGGACAATATTATTACCAACATGTTTGATTGCCCTAACCTCAGTGGTTTATTATACAGTGACTTAAGTGATCATCTCCCTGTTTTTAACATATCTTATCTATCGAATATTGCTCACCCATCCAATGGTGCAGTTGGCTCAGATAGGGAAGTAATACCTAGATTTAGAAATATTAATCCCTTAACTTTAGAGAATTTTTGCCAACATATTTGTAACCAACAGTGGTCTGAAGTCCTTGATGTGCAAGACCCCGATGAAGCCTATAATAATTTTGAAAACATATTCGAAAATCTCTATGAAGAGAATTTCCCATTCAAAAATGTAAAAAAAAAAATCACATAAGCTAAAACCATGGATGTCCAACGGCCTTCTCAACTCTATTAAATATAAGCAAAAACTTTATGCAAAATTCCTTCATTGCCCATCTACCATAAATGAAACCAAATACAAACAATTTCGCAATAAATTAAATTCACTTATTAAAATTATCAAAGCTACCTACTACAAAAATTTATTTCTCAAACACAAAAATGATATCAAGTCTACTTGGAATACTATAAATCTGCTGATAAAAAAACAAACCCCAGTAACCAAACAAATCCCTATTTCAACTGTAACGGTGAACATACTAACGATCCCACAACAATTGCATCTGCATTTAATGACTACTTCGTTGAAATCGGACCCTCTTTAGCTAACAAAATTCCCCAAGTTAACAAATCCTTTAAGGAATTCTTACCCAACCCTACACCTAATTCTATTTTTCTTACCCCTGTTAATGAATCTGAAGTGGCCTGTATATTAAACTCA